TCTCCCCAAAGCTCACTCAAAATGCTTATGAATAGTGTCTTCAGAGTTACCTTCTAGGCTTTTCTGTAGCTGCCCATATCTTATTGGGCATTATTTTTATATATTCTTACATTTTGATGGCCATCTTATTTTGATGGCCATCTAGGAGGCTAAAGAGGTGGGACCCTACAATATTACCAGAGGAGGATGTTGCATAATACAATACAATAGCAGATTTGGAAGACCCCCAAAGTCCCTTCCAACTCTGCTGTTGTATTGTATTATGCAACATCCTCCTCTGGTAATATTGTAGGGTCCCACCTCTTTCACCTCCTAGATGGCCATCAAAATCTGGCTCCTTACTCAGGGATGAGGGCAGACTGGTGAGAGCTTGTGGATGGTTGCTGGGGCATCTTGGGAAAGTGATCCTAGCTAGATACTTGCCTAAGAATTCCATGCCCCCTGCCACACACACGTGTCTGTGTGTTTGTGTGTAGATTGGTTCTCTCATTGATTAGTTTCCAACAGTGGTGGGTTTCAAAAAATTTTGGAAGCTCTTCTGTAGGTGTGGCGTGCTTTCCAGGTCCACTGGTGGAACCTTTTCTAACTGGTTCGGTAGATTTGACGAACCAGTTCTACCGAACTGGTGCGAACTGATAGGAACCCACCTCTGGTTTCCATCCATGGTTTCTTGTCCTGACTTCAGGTGCTTTGGAGAATAGATTGACCCTTTATTCCTTGTGCCGGCCCCTCAAATATTGGAACANATAAACAAACGTCGTCTTTCGGTAGACAGGTAGAAAAACAGCACATTCACCAGCAGTTCAAATTACTGACGATTTAAATTTGGAAAGCTGAATATGTAAAATCCAGATGAATAATAACCTCGGTTTAGAAATGTTGAAGACCATCACATATTCCCGAACTTCTCTTAAGGCAAAGCAATACGATTAACTTTAGGTTATCCTTCATATTGTAAGTTGGAGTTGACAGGGATACACTTAAGACCACCTGGTGAGTTCGTGACAGAGATGAGATTTGCAGCTCCTTCTCTAAATCACTCTGCCCCGAACAGCCCCGTTGTGGCCCATAAGGATAGATTACACAGATTAAAGGCAGGAAGGAATCAGAGTAGTAAAAAAAGGAAAAGAGGATCTGGTTTTACCTGGAAGCGAGAGAAAGTATAAAATTTTGATGACAAATTCTTGCAGCTTCTCTTCCTTTGTTCTGTGGGCCCTATGAAAAACACAGCCTTTGGAAGGATGTCATTTTTGACTTTCAGCTTCAGGGATGAGATATTTCAGAGACCAGCTACGCACAATGTCATGTCACTCTAGCTGCATATTGCCAGGTTTGCAAGCATTATTTGCCTTGTCATTTATGATAAATAAAACCGATTCCAGGCAACTGGAATTATCAACTGAACGATAGTTGCCTCATTCTTCATTCGGTTTGTTAATAAGAGGAGGCGAATAAAGCCTTTAAATGGGAACCTAACTGTTCTACATGATGTAGTTCAGGCATAATGTTATCTCCCTTAAACCACGGGTTGTACATTATATCAATGACCATAATTAGATATAGGCACATCCCTTCATCTCCTCTCTCAGGTCTCCATTAGATTAAAGGGAATGGCTTTGTGAATTTATCTTTACACTTAATAGGTTTGTAACAATCAATCCAAAAGTTCTTGCTCTTAAGATAAACAGAATTATCTCATTACAGATTACACCAGAGGTCCACTGAATTATCTCTAACCACTATGATCAAACCTCAGATAAATACGCAGTGCCCCCGTAAACCTTGTGTATTAAAAAAAGAAGATAAAGCAACAACTTTTTTTTCCCATTTTCAACTATTTTTCCATCCCCCCCACCTATAAGAACAAATACGGTAGATGGGGAGGCAGTACACAACGATTTCTCTTTCATAGTTAAAGGAAAAAATTTCTAACTGGAAATCTGGAAATTCTAGAACCTACTTTTTGAAAAGAGAATGGAGGTGGCGGAGAATAGCAATAGCAATAGCAGTTAGACTTATNATTCTGGGAGTTGAAGTCCGGACATCTTCAAGTTGCCAAGGTTGAGAAACACTGGTATCGAATATTACATATAGAATGAAAAAAAAATGTATGAAATAATTTAAAGCACAAATATATAAAGTCATAGTTAAATAAGATTTAATATATTATATACTTTACAAAATGACATAAATGATATGATATACATAGAACATATAGAATATTATATATATAGAATGAAATAATGTATGAAATAATGTAAATGCACAAATATATGAAGACAGAGTTAAAAAAGATGTATTGGTATAGATGAAACAGAGACAACAGATAGGTAGAAAATGTAATGTGTTGCAAAGATGTGAAGTTTGTACAAACAAAATAAAATGTATTACATTTTTTTAAAAAAAGGAATGGACTTCCTTATCCCAATTACTGTTGCTAAAGGGAGGACTATCAACACTACTTTCATACTCAAGTGATTTTATTCCTTTAAGGGTAGTCAAGTTTTGTAATATAATATATGGGATGGCAGCAGTTTGATTGACATGCTTACTTAATCAGCTAATTATTAATGTCATTGTGTAATGTGTTTTAGAGATTGCTCATTAACCATAATGGTCTATTTATGCACTCATAAGAATTACAGGCCATTAGAAACAGTTTAGTCTGAACTTAAGAGAACATCGTTCCATTCACTATGCATACTAAATACAAGATTAGGCTTGGAGTTTAGCTTTAGTTTCAAATGTGGTGTGAGTTTAGATATAAATATTTAACTCTTGGTTTAATTGGCTATTTAGTCCAGTTGGGTTAAGTCTGTTACTCTAATGGTTGATTAAGAATATAGGTGGAAAAGAGCCTCTATTCAAAAGTTTAGACTTATTGTATGGGTCTTCCCCCATATACTCTGGATTATGACAATGGTAAAAGGACCATAGTTAATACGTAATTCTGTTTTTGAAAAGGCCACAAACTCAACTGTCCAAGAAAAATTGGAAGAGGGTTACCTCAATCATTCATTTGCCTAAAGCATGGGACTGTTTAATGTTTTATCTTCCAACCTATTAACAGTCAGATTTCAAAACATGCTTTCACTCAGCTTGCCTGTGGACAGGACACTGAAGAATTAGAGATAGACATTATATTTCCATATTTTCCCTTTTATAGGGAAGTTGTCATTGTTATTTCAATTGTAATTTTTTTAATTTTATTTTGGTAAACATCCAGGGAGAGATGAATTCATATTTTTCTTTTTTGCTGGATAAATATCCGTATTTTTCTAATAAAGTAACCACATTTTGTGCCACAGACAGTAGCTGATCAAAGTTAATACATCTGGGCAGAAGATAAGTCAATATTACTTAAATCCTAAAGTGTCAGCTAGAGATGTATGTCTATAAAATCTGTATGCTGGAGAAAGTGAATTGGATGCTCCTTTTTCCTTTGATTCATGCTTCATAGTATTGTCGGTTAAGAGAAACAAACGAAGAAGCACATAATCTTTTCTTACGTTCCTCGCTTATATTAGAATATTGACAGAAGATCAAGGCCAATATTCATTCTTTAGGACAGTGGTTCCCAAACTTGGCAACTTTAAGACTTGTGGACTTCAACTCCCAGAATTCTCCAGCAGAGCAGAGCTGGATAATTCTGGGAGTTGAAGTCCACAAGTCTTAAAGTTGCCAAGTTTGGGAACCATTGCTTTAGGACATTGTCTGAGACATTAAGGGAAGCAACAATAATTTGGATTATTTGCTGCAATTAAATATGTAAACCAATTAGAGTCTTTAGTCTACTTTTCCAAACAGAAATCATTATTCTGCAGGTATTTCCTTCTTCAGTTAATTTGGGCTATCATTCCTGTTCATTAAGTAGGATCATAGTTCAGTGTCCTCCATTGATGGTGGCCTGGACATTTGGTAGTTAGGTTTCTAATGTTATGATACGCTTTCTAACTTTTTCTACTGAAATGGCCACTGTAAGGAAGTTACTGAAATGTAACTTCCTTACAGTTAGACTAACTTCACTCTTCTATTTTATAAGTATTTTGCAATATGAGTTCCTCTTTTCTTTAAAAAAAAAAAGGCCCATAAGGTTGGGTTAATAATTTTGTTTACTATGCAGTTATGAAGCATATGTATAATTTGGTTCAAATAGTAGTAAGTTTTCATGTTACTAGAAAAAATGTTGACATTTTTTGAATGAAAACAGTGACTAGTTTTGACTAACTTAATAAGTTTATTTTGGGATCTGCATCCCCTTGAATCCAGGCCACCATTATGTTGGCACTGCTAATCTGAGTTTTTATAACTTAGTAGTATAATGCATGATAGTATTATACTAAGCTTGCTGCAAACAGCCAATAAATCCTTTCTCTTTGCTTTGAATTACTCTGTCTGCAAGGCGGAAGGCACTCTGATGAACACCTACAGTGACATCTGCTAGATCTGAGAAAGTGATTTAAATTAATTCACATATTTAAATTTCGTAGCTCAAAATAAGAAGTAATGCAATCATTTCAGTTAAGAATGAGAGGATTTTCATAATCTACATTGATCTCCTCAAGCATAAATATCTATGCTATTTTGTAACCCAGCACAAAAGTAAATATACTATGACTTTTGAAATGTTTTTTTTTCTAAGCTTCAAAGATAAAATCAATTGCTAAATGACATTCCTATAATAAAGCACTTCAATTTCCTATCCAAATGCTCATTTTCCTTTGAGACAAGTGCAAATTTGGAAATACTCTTTCATATATCCCGGAACATTTATTTTGTAGCCTTCAAGCTATCCAACTATTTAAAGGTAAACTCCTCTGCATGTCTGCTGCATGAAAATTATCACTTATATGTAAAAATAAAGAGAACAATTCCAACTGTTTCTCTTAGATCTTATACAAAAAGTCAGCATATATGCCACCGAAGAAAGCTATCTTCTGAAACAGAAGAAGATTTAGAGCACATTGTATTATGGGGAAAAAAATAGCTTTGTACCATACCTTTTTGCTCTTTTTCCTTGTTTTATTTTAGGGATTTACTGCGCTGCCCTTCTTTCTCTGCTCCTGTCACTTATTGATGTTGCTACGGTTATAAGTAGATATTCATTCGACAGCTTGTCAAGCAGGAACTTCAGCAATTCTCTCTCTTTACCATCGCACGGTACCTTTAACCCAAAGGGAGGGGAAAACAAAAGAATAATTTATTTGTAAGTTAAGACCCATCGACTTTCAGGCAGGAAGGATCATCTGATACCTACAGGAGAATTTTTAATCTGATGACTTTTGAGTCCTTTCCCAATCAAGCATTAAATGCTGAATGGCTACAATGGCCCATGCAAGCTGCCATTCATGAGAAGGACGCGCATGGCACACAAGCCACTTGAGTGAACAATGAGAACAATTGAACACTGTTTTATTATGCCAAGATGATTGTAAATGCATAATGCATACATGGAGATAACGGCTCCCCGACACCAATCTGAACAATATGGAAACAGGCTGTCCCAAAAACATTCAGGCTTGCAATTACGATTAAATTACTGTATATGCTCTTTGTATCATGATGGAAAAGAAAGGGTAAACACAAAAGGAAAAAGGAAAACAGCTCTGTGGTTGGAAAGATGCAAAATTGCTCACTTAGAGGACAACAAAGTGTGATGGAGGCACACATCTTTTACATTAGACAAGTGTAAAGGATAGGTGGTTTCAAGACAGGACCCTTACTTGTCCCTGCTCTGACAAGTATACATGCAAGAATTCTCCACCTTCCGTAGTGTTGAAAAGACAGGTTCTTAACCTATTTATGGATAATGTTGTATCTTAAATACAGTTCAGTCAGGATCTGAAACAAATATGTCTATAAGACTGTAATCCACATGTGGGCATTGCACTGATTTCCCCTTACAAAAGATCAAGTAATACTCCTTGATAAACTTCTCATTAATAGTAATGAAGGGGCTGGTTTCATATATTTGGACTTTAAATTCTGAAGCTTAGACAAAAGCATGATAGGTTTTATTTCCACTGGATTTCTTCTTGCAATTTTTTTNGGCACTAGGGATTTGAACCGCCGAACTGCCGACTTCTGATTGACAAGCTCAGTGTCTTAGCAACTGAGCTACCGTGTCCCTTTAAGATTGCACTAGAGATCTTAATATTTAGGAAACTACACAGGATAGAGTGAAAGAATAATAATACGTACATAAAATAGTATAATCAGTTCCTTTTCCAGCTGAGTTAATTCTTTTTTTAAACAATTTTAAATGTTTGTAAAATTTTAGACTTTTAAAGTATAAGAAAGGACCAAATAAAGCTGTTGTCAAACTATGATTTGACTATCAGTTTTAATTGTTAATTATTCCTATTGGCGAATTAACAAATTATTTGCAGCAGGCAACTAATCATTCTTTCCCCATTTTATCACAATAGGTGATTATAAAAAAATAATCTAGCAGATGAGACATTTTTGCAGATAAAACAAAGTCTCCAAATAGGCTTTTGGCAACAGTTAATTATGGACTTCATTTGGTAAGCCAACCACTTTTTGACAACTAATTAGAAACTACCTATAAGGTGCTGGTCTCAGGATATGAGAAATTAGCTGTTGTTGGGAAATGTCTTTTTCTTTCTCCATTTTTGCAACACATTTTGTATCCATGATCTAATTGGACTGCAATCTGGAGCATTTCCTCAGTGATTTGTCTTTTATTACATCCACTGATATAACTAAGCTAGCACTTGAGTAATATGGAAAAGGATCATTGGTCTTCTTGGAACTGAAAAAAAAAGTATCCGTTGGTTGGGCTCAATCTTAGCAGGGTCCCCCCCACCCACCCCCACACACTAGTATAGGCTGGGCCAATAATTTCCTAAGGGACTGAGGTCAAAACCTATCAATTTACAAAAAGGGAAAGAAAGCAACATCTGCTAATTATAGTCCAATTAGTCTATTGAGTGTTATGAATAAATATCCTGGATCAGAGGCAAAGAAATGAGTTTTCAGGCAGAATTCTATACAGGAGAAAGAATGGATAAATCTCGTATGTAAGCTTTATTGACATGAAATTAACTTGTTGCATCAAGCTATGGAACAAAGTTGAAGTGACTTCCATGTATAAATGCTTTCTATTGCTTACAGTCTCTAAANTCATCTATCTATCTATCTATCTATCATCTCTCTCTCTCTCCTTCTCCCTCTCCCTCCCCCCCCTCTCTCTCCTTCCTTTTTTCACATCAGCCTACCTCACAGAACTGTTGTGGAGAAAAATAGGAACAGAGAGTTCTGTTTATACTGCCTGATCTCCAAAAGGAAGACAGAATATAAATTTAATAACCAAACAAACAATTCTGAAATATAGGCTTGCATTTATACCTTAAAGGGACATCACACATGCCACATTTGTGCGATGCAGGGTCATCGTAATAACAATTTGATGTTCCTATCTCTTGACGTAGCAGGGTTAGGATATATCTATTATAAATATTCCTATAGAGGCTGAAGTGTTTTCTTCTATGTTCCAACCCTGATGCCTAGATGTTTTAATGAAAACTGTGGTTTTAAAAACTGTTTTCCTTGTTGGCTCGCAGTATTGATACGTGCTGTAGAACCTGCTATCCTTTCAAACTGAATGGGATTTGTGAAAGGGCAGGAGAATAAAGATAGTCCTTATTTATTGGTGGTAATGGGGACGGCGAACTCTGTTGCTAAGCAATGGGATTGTGAAGCATGGCAGTACTGGATTATGACGGCAGTTCAGGCAGTACCCAGTTGCTGTTGTTAGGCGAAGCCCACACAGTCACAGCAACCAGCGGTCATGTGATCAACATTGACATATTCCTGCGTCTTCAAACGTCTTCAAAGAAGAACCAGAAAGTCCAGTTGCCTCTTGAAAAAAGCACCTTGAGGACAACCATGACCTGGTTGACTGAGAATCTCCATAGATATCTAAACATTGGTACATTGCTGTCAGTTGATTTGGAGGCATTGATTTGGAAATGTGAAGGGATTCGCTGTTCTACTGGAGGCAAAGTATAGGAAACAGAAGAATCCGTAAGACATAATCAAAAAAGTTCACACTGCAGCCACCATAGTGCAGTTGCAACTGTTTTTACATATAGCAATAGCAGTTAGACTTATATGCCGCTTCATAGGGCTTTTAGCCCTCTCTAAGCGGTTTACAGAGTCAGCATATCGCCCCC